TTAGTCCTTTGAAGAAGAAAAAAATGCCTGTGGAATGCCAAACCAAGTCTACATCATTGGTATCAGAGCTCAAAGCTCCTATACCAAGTGTATTCATACCCTATCTCAAATTTTTGTTATTTGTTTCATTCAGTTTTTAAGTCTTGTTTCTTATAAAACCAAAAAAATCATAAAATGTAGTTTTATTGTTTACCTGATTTTTTGCGAATTTTATAAATATATTAAAATCCATAAAAATGTTTTGCTTTTGTTTCAGTTTATTTAAACTCTTAAAAACCACCAAAAATAGTTTTCTTATATTAATAAATCATTTATTAATTTTAAAACAAATTTTCTTACAACTGGTCTAAACTGCTTAAATTGCTTGTTCTTGTGTTTTGCTTTGACTTGTTTTCTTCAAACTTTTGCAAGGTGTAACAATGGAGAATGCACCAGCAGACCCTCTACAAGCTATGTTGGCCATGATGAACTCGTTCCAAGGCCAGCTCACATCCATTAACGAAAATCTCACCACCACTCGAGCCGATGCTCAAACCACTACTGCTCGCCTTACCCGCTTGGAGAATCTTGAACGAAAACCTCCTCTTTTACCAAGGAGATATGTACAACCTAGAGGTCCCTAAGATGCAAACCGTGCAGAGGATCTCCCTGATGTACCACCCTGAGCACCAGACCTTTCACAAGCGGCTCAAGATATTTTAAATAGAAGAAACAATGAGAGAAACAGGCCATACAATGAAGATAGACACTTACCACCAGATGTGAAGCTCCTTGCTCCAACCTTTGCTGGAAAGCTAGATCCTACATCATACATGGAATGGGAGAGAAGAATGGAGCACCTTTTTGAATAATATGCTTATACCGAGCCCAAGAAGGCTGCACTTGCAATAGCTAGTCTCACTGACCATGCTTTAGCTTGGTGGGAAAGAGAAGTAGCTGAGAAGAGAAGGCTGAGATACCCTCAAATTACAAGATGGAGTGACATGAAGTTTGAGCTAAACAGAAGGTATGTTCCACCTCATTATCAATAGAGATTTACTTAAAAGGTTTCGCTCTTTGATTCAGAGTTCAAAAAGTGTAGAAGAATATTCTGAAGAGTTTGATCTCTTAAGAAGTCACCTTGCCTTAGAAGAAACAGAGGAGTCTATCATGTCATGGATGGATTTCAAGATAAGATTCAAATAAAAGTGGAGATGCAGCCGTACCATTCATTACCTGAACTCTTACACTTAGCTGTCCAAATGGAGAAGCGTATAAAGAAGAAAGCTACTACAAGAAATCACTCTAGCAACAACATTGCCTGGAACCAACAACAGCCCCAACAAGTTCAACAACAGCAGCAGCCAACCCCTAATACCGTTTGTAGACAAGGGTAAAGGCATATCAATAGAGTCAAGGTTCAAATCTAATGGCCAAGAGCAAGGTAAGTCTAGTAATTCAAATAGACGCCATAACATTATTTGTTATAAGTGTCAATGCAGGGGACATATATCAAAAGAATGTCCAAACAAAAGAACAATCATGCTTAGAGCTGACGGTGGATATGATTCACAAGATGAGGAGATGATTGACATTACAGTAGAAGAAGTATTACAAGTAAAATCTAAGCAACGTACTAGAGATTAAGCTAGTTATTTTGCTATTCACGTATTTTTAAACCTTAATTCCCTAGATATGATGCATTTGTCTATGCCAAAAGAGCTTATTTCAGGTTTTAAAGAGCAAAAGTTCAAAACTATGATGAACAAGGAGCAAAACGTGGGCAGCAATAAAGAAAACATGATGTTTTACAAGGAGAAACCACCAATACACGAGCTGACAACAACACTGGAGCTTGCTGAAGCCAAAAACATACCATTCATTTAATTATTGGAGCATTTAAAAGCCAAACATCAAGATATTTAAAATCTGAAACTTTTCCAAAAACTATTTGAGCTTTGTTTGATGCAGGTATTAATGTTTTGGGTACAAAACCTCTTCAAGAATGAGAGTATGATGTAAGCATCAATGCTCATAGAAACCGGATCAAACAAGAAAGGGAGCATTGGAGCTAAACCAGGTGATGCTTTGCTTGTAGCCGAGGAGCTTGGAGGACTTGTAGCTTCTTTCAAAGGAGCTAAAGACATAAGATCAATCAACATCTTTCTGGACCTCTAAAGAAGCATTCTGATCAAGCCAAAGTCAAGCCGTTTCAATACAAGATGCAAGAAATTCTATTTAAACCGCCAGATCTTCTTAAACCATCAAATGAAGCAACATTGGCGTTATTCAAGAAAACTAGGAGCAACATGACATTACATTCGACTCACCATTTCATTCGACCACCAAGGAGTATATCAAGATATTCAGGACCAGCAAATCACTCAATAACTGTCCTAAACCAAGTCAAAACCAAGGAGAATCAGCCACGAAGCCACTTTCCATACTTAGAGATAATTATCTAATTTCTATGGGAAAGTTAGACCAAAAAGATCAGCCACAGATTAATCTCACCCCTACATCACCTCTAGAAGATCTCAGACGTCCATCTCATGCTAAGAAATCATAATCACTTCCCCATTCATTGCCAAAGACTAAATCATGCCCATTGAAGCCTAACGGCTAGTAGAAGTCTTCCCATCATTCAGTTTGATTCCTGCTTTCTTTTTTTATACTTGTTACCATTTTATTCAAATAATTTTGAGCATTATATAAGCTCTTCCCCCTTTTACTTTTATATTCAGAATTTTATTAATCAAAAGGCATTTTATTTGTTTCAAAGAGAGATTTCTTTTGAAAACAATTGTTCTTGCAAATTAAACACTTATGTGGAATCAGAGTGTATAATTTACGGAGAGACTTATTTTCCTTGTGAGGATTAGCCCTTAGAGAATCTGAGTCTCATCCTGTTGCTTGTGGAATCAAACAACAAAAGCTGGTTAACAAATCATCAACCATTTACCTATCATCTCAGCTTCAAGGCATTGATTTCAAAGGTTGAACTTGGTGCCAAACAACGTCTACATCACAGTATAATGATATCCCTTGTATTTACACAATTTAGGACTGCATTTAGTACATGTTTTGGTCCTCTTTTGCATGTTTTCCCTTAGCTTTTGTCCCATTTTCTTCTCTTTTAGACTTAGGTTGCATTTAGAGTATAGTTTGCATTTTCTTTGCATTTTGAATGTTTTTAGGTGCTTTTAGAGCTAAAAGGAGCTTGGAGGAGTTTTGGGGATGATCCAGGATGCTAGCTGGGCAAAAGGGAGCAAGAAGGATCAAAGCAGAAGATCTCTGCAGAAGTTTTCGGTCAGAGCACGGTGAACATCGGTCAAGGATGACCGATATAGAGCAGTATCGATCACCAGTATCGGTCAAGGGTGACCGACACAAACACAACAGATGGATTTCGGTCATATGTTTCGATCACTCCAGACTGATGGGGATCTATATCGGTCACTGAAGACCGGCGTAACTGACCGATACTGACCCAGCCCGAACCTGTTTTAATTACGCTTTTGCTATTACTCTAGGGCTTTCTTCTCTAGGCTATAAATAGCCTCTTTTTCCAGATTTTCGAGATGTCTTGTCAAATAACTGTTCTTAAGCATTTTATTTAAGTTTGTAAGACAAATCCTTTGCTTTGTTTAATATATTTGAGTATTTGCCTTTAATCTTTCTTTATTCTCTCTTCTAATCATGATTAACATCCTTTTCCTTTGTGATTTGGTGTTAAACATGAGTATGAGTGAGTAGTTATCTTAAAGTTTATAGATGTGGTAGATTAGGGGAATTTAAGACTTGATTAGGGCTTGTTAAGTGCTTCAGTTTATAGGTTCCTCTCTATTAATCTGTTATTCATGCTAGATTAGTCTTGATCAAACTTATATAAGTTGTTAGCTTTCTCTTATGCCCACCAAGTGTTTGATGAAATGCTGATCATGTTTAATAGAGGATTTGCTGGCCTTGGCTCAAGAGATTGACTGTTTGAGGAGCATTTTGACTTGAATAGAGTTGTTTACTATTGATTGCTTGATGTTTTAGCACTAATGAGAGTTAGTTCTTGTTAAGATGTTTAGCAAAGGGTTATTTGCCAAGAGATTGGATCTAGCTAGCTTAATTGTGAACTCTATGTCTAGGAATCAACATTGCTTGCTTACTTGCTTGATCAATGTAGTTTGAAACAGCCATAGTTAGTATCTGAAATTCCCCAAAGTCAATAACCACATCTAGGAACTTGCCTTTCTCTTATTTGAATCTCGGATTTGCTCTGTTTTGCTCTGTTTTTCTTGTTTAAAACTGCTTAGTTTGCTTTTATTTTCACTTTCTTTGTTGATTGATCACACTAGGTTGTTAGAACAGTTGCCTAGGCAACAAAAACCTTTTCCTGCTTGCTTGACTTAGAGATTTCACTCTTAGCTCTTCTGTTTTCAACTGTTCCCAATTAGATTGACATTAAAACCCATACTACAACTGACTAGTACAATGGGTGATTAAGACAAGAACCTCAAAACTCTTGTATCATAGAACAAGTGATACAGGCCATTCGTTAGCAGCCAGGGGAGATCTTTGGAGAGTAGAAGCTTCTACATTAACTTCACCATCAAGAGATGATAGTCCATCTCTATTTCTTCTCCAGCTTGGACCTCTGTTGTTTCTGCGCGACTCAACTCTCCTTTTGCATGTTCATTTATCAAAGCAATACTTGCTTTGGTATGGATATGATCGAAAGGTATGCTTATAGCTCAAAAACCTTTGTATCTTCTGTCTCAATGGATTTATGATTGAGTTGCTTGTGTTAGTCTTCGCTTCTGAAGTGTGTGCTCAACTTGAGTAATACTTATATGGTAAATCTCTTTTCAGAAAGGTATGCATTCACTTTGTCCAGCTTTGTGGTCAAAGCATCGAAGATGGCTTATGATGTCAATGATCTGCTTCAATCCTTTAGCGTGCGTAAGTGTCTTTCTTCCTATATGTGTTTGCTTTTACATATTCTTAAATCATAAGAACCAATTCTGCACATGAAACAGTCATTTGTAGATTTGCAGTTCCCAAATGGGCAGTTAACGTATGTATCTGGTGAGGGATTGACGACAAGTGTGTTTGTTCCTTTATGTGGTGGTCTTCTTCAAGTGCAAGGTCAATATCCAGTCAATATGCGGTTTAGTTTCTCTTGCAAGGTTTGTTAATAATTTTGATCAAGTATAGGCACAGTCTTCACAGATTCATCATATCTTACAAGAGCTTGAAAATCTGTTGTTTTGGACCTTGATGAAACAGACTAAACAAGGAACACTGTTGAATTGGCCTGAGAAATCAATCGGAATCGGTGTTTCTCAAGCCTTGACTTGGCGTAAGTCTGATCTCATGATGAAATCAGCGATTCAATTTAGAGCATCTGCAGTGGAGGTTCTCAACTTAAAAAAAAAAACAAAAAATAATGAAAAGTGAAGAGAGAGAGTGAAAAGAGGTTCTCATTTGAGAACATCTCTTCTGGCTTGTCAAACATATATTGATTAAAATTTATTTTCTAAATTTAAATTAATTAGAAAATTTAATTATGTTAAAATAATATTATTATTTTTGTTTAAGAACCTCTAAGAGGTTCTCATAGATGCAGATGGTCTTAGGTAAAAAGAAAACCTTTCTCATTCTAAATCAAAATGTTTTTTTAATGAAAGAAAAAAACTCACAAACGTGGAAACACAGTGTGTGCTCTACATTTGGTGGAAATAATCCCAGGATGAAGACTGAGGTTATTCACTCGTTGAACGATAACATCAATATGATATGTGGCTGCGACTGCGCTCTAACCGCTTATCCTTCAGCATTTGCATCTGTTTCCGTAAGCCAACAATCTCCTTTTCTTTTCTTTCTCTAACCGTTCTTGTTCCAGTTCTTAATTGATTTTCGTTTCAGTTAATTTTGTTTCGCAGTTTGGTTTGTCCAAGTTGAATGGGAACATAGGACGAAGCGGAATAGTTGTTAGAGCTGATACTCCTCTTGGAAGCGTTGGTCAACCTTCTTTCTCCATCCAGCTTAACAATGCTTTCAAGTTCTGAAATAGACTCTGTTTTGCCCTCACTATACTAAAGTTGTATATAGTAAAAAAATTAAACTCAGTAATCAATTTCACTATGGCATTAACAAAGCTGAAAGAAAATCTCTAATGGCAAAGGGAATTTGATAAAAACAAAGTTTAATAAAAAAAAGTGGGTTGCAATAGCACAATGAGTTGTTAATCCTCATTAGGCAGAAGCATAGAGAGCTTAGTAACTCATGCCCCAGTAGTTTGATAGGCTCATGATTTACCCAATTAATTAACTATTGCAAGTGCACAACAAAGCAGTTGTAGCATAAAGGTTATCGAATCCCAAGGGAGTAAGTTAACTACACTATAGACTTCAGGTTCGGATTAAACTAAGAAGTAAATAATGTATGTAATGCGAAATAACTAAGGTAATGTAAGCAAGCGATTTTTGTTGATTGATTTAAGTTCAGAAAGCTAAAAGCGCTAAGTTAGGACAATTCGGAGGTTGAATCCGAGAATGTAGAATGTATGCAAGTAGGAATGAATTAAAACCGTCTTAAACTCAAAATTCAATGGTATAACTAATCAATTCCCATTGCAGAAGTTATCTATGCCTAATTCACAAAATTCCAAATCTCTTTGCAAATTCTAACATGTTAAGCAAGCATTAAATATCAGGTTTCGATTGTTCATAAAACTCCTAAGTCAAATCTCTTTGCATGTAGGCACTTTTCTCATCTAATACTAGTTCAATTGATTAACAATGTTCTCAAATCTATTAAACAATCCAGGGTTTCGAAATCTAGATGATTAGTCTCAGAAATCGATGTGAATGCAAGTATAGATGAAGAACCAATGGATTTCCTAACAATTTAGCAATTTTACAGACGCTTCATCAACCTTTGAAAAGCCCTAGTGATACGCACCTCAATTCATCATCAGCCAAGGAGCACGGATCTAGGAGTCATGAAGTAGAGAACATGAAGCTGAAGAGAGCTAAGGAGACATGCGAGTGGAGTTTAGCTCAAATGGAGGTTGATATCAAACATTCAACCCCAAAAAATACTTGGAGAGCATACTCAACTTATCCAGAGTTCACCACGAAGAAGAATCAGCTAAAAAGGAGTTCACGTGAAGAAGATATTGAAGATACAAATTGGCAGATCTTCAATAGACCCGATGGAGACATACGACCACTAATAAAATCATTCCGGCCAAACGACGACGATTCAAGCCACGAAACCGGATGTTTTAGACACTTGATTCATCAGAGAACCAAGGAAAATTGGTTTCATGCCACAATTCATTATGGTTTAAAAGTTATTCAACTTCTAAACCAAAGGATGCTCTGCTTGCCTTATTTGGAGCTGGCGAGTTTAGTCACTTGCAAACCAAACTTTGGCGACCAGGAGAGACATCTAAGCATTCAGGAGACACATCTTACAATCCAGGAGAGTCAGAAAACATCTTCCAATGCACCAGCACCCACATGATCAGGCGGATCATGTCACACTTCTACTTACCATATATGGAAGCATTTACACTTGGTTCCATAACTCACCAACGGCTACTTCCCTTCATGAACCGAGATAAGCAAGACTTTGGGATATTATTCATCATCAAGATATCAAGATACAAGTCAAGAAATCCCCTTCATTCAGCCTTTTTGCTCATCACCCATTAAATGGGTCAAAATCCCTTTAATCTCTCTTTTTGATCTTTCTTTGATTTTTGCATAATTCTCTCTTAAGAGTTAATGTCTAGGACGTGTACTGAGCCTATATAAGCTCATTGCTGTTTCATTTGTAGAAAACCACTTTTATCTAAGAAAATATACAATTTTTGTTCTTTTTATTCAAAGAGAGTTCTTTGTTTAAACAATTTGTCTTTAGATTCAATTGAGTGATTCTTTTGTTTCTACTGATTCTTGGAATAGATTTGTTTGTGTAATTCAGGCAAGGCTAGTTCCAACGGCTGAGTGAGTCAGCCATCCCACCGACTGAGTGAGTCATTCAATTCACCATATTTCCGCTTCAACCATATTCCATCCGACCGGCTGAAAGAGAGTGACTTCAGTCCAGCTTTCGGCCTCCATCATTCCACAAACGAGCCTCAGCCTTTGAGGATCGTATCATCTGATATCAGAGCTTCAAAAGCTCCTATCCCCCAGGTTGTATCCATCCAACCTTTATCCTTATTTTCTGTTTATTATTTTTGTTTCCTTTCATTAATTAAAAAAAAAATCTCATAAAAATTGTTTTGCTTTGATTTGTTATTTATTGTTTTCTTTATTGAATTTTATAAAATCTTAAAATCCATAAAAAGTTGTTTGCTTAATTTTTTGAATATTTTATTTTATCTAAAAGTAAAAAATAACATTGTTCTTGTTTTATTTGCATCATTTAAATTTCAAAAATTCAAAAACAAAAAAAACAAAAAAAACAAATTATTGGTATTTGCTATTTGATTCCTTCAAAAAAAAACTATTTGCAGTTTGTTATTGATTTATTTTGCATTTATGAAATCTAAAAATCAAAAAAAAAAATATTGCTATTTATTATTTGATTTCTGCATTCAAAAAAAAAAATTATATATTGTTCATTTGAAATCATTCTTAGTTTCAGTTTATTGATCATATTGCATTTGTTGAAAAAAAAAATCCATAAGAAGTTATTTAGATTGTGTTTAATCTATTGCTGCATTCATTTTGTTTTGAATACTTTAAATCATTAGAAAAACCCATAAAAAAAAAAATTTTGATTGTTTTCTTAAATCAGGAATAACAAAGATGGGAGGAGAAGGTGTTAACCTAGCAGAAATTCTTGTCAAAACTCAAACACAAATCCAAACCTTAGTAGAAAGAGTGGCACAGATCCAACCACAGAAAAAAAAATGGATTTGGAGATGCAACAGGAGCTGAATATGTTGAACCTAAACCACCAGATTGTTCAAAGAAGCAAGTCAACAAAAGGAATGGTTACAGATTTAATACTCTAATATTTTCAGGCACAAGTAAGAACCCTGATGTGTATCTCAGTTGGGAAAGTACTATGAAGAAGTGGCTACAATCCAACAACATTCCCAAGGAAAAGAAGTTACAACAAGCTGTCCAAGGACTTACAAAACAAGCTTATGAATGGTGGTTAAAGGAAAACATTCCAACTGTCCACAAGAAGCCAGTTCTAGATTGGAGTGACCTCAAGGCAAGGATGCATAAAGAATTTGTAGAGAAGTATCAAGTCATGGAGAAGAAGACTGTTCTCAGCCAAAGAGCATTGTGCAAGTCAACAGAAAAACCAGAACAAACCATTATTCAAGCAAAAGCTCAGCTAAGTCCTTCTTTAAGTGAATTAGTATTTACCACTGGTATGATGTGCTTGTCTTTTTCAAAGAAAGCTGGAATAGGTTTAAAGGAGCCCACATCCAAGGGAGAAGAGATACCAGCAATAAGCCTTGCAATGGACCAGAAACCAAGCTCCAAAGATGAGCCCTTAAAAGGAGAAGTTGCATCCAAGGCAACAACATCTAGGTCTAAGGCTATAGCAAAGTCACCAAACCCACCAAGCCAATGTAAGTCTTCTAACCTTGTTAATTCTAAAGAACCAACATGTTATAAGTGTCATAAAAGAGGACACTTTGCTGCAAATTGTTCTATTAAGAAAATGTTGGCAGAAACTTCACTAGTAGAGAAAACAGAAAAATCTATTAATAGTGATAGTTTATCTCATTCTGAATTTTTAGTTCCCAATGCTAGACTTATGCACTTTTCTTTGCCAAAGAGTTTTGATCCAGGAATAAGACAAGAAGAAAGGGAAACGAAGAAAGAAGAAAGGCTACAAGGAGATCAGATTCTACAACTGACTTTTCCAATGGAGGATGAGAAAGTAGAAGAAGAGCAATCAGATGCAATGCCATCACCAGCACGCCTTGATGAGAAACATGAGCTAACTATTATTGATTCATATCAGTTAGAAGCTCAAGACTCTAAACAAAATTCTGAGAGTCCTGGAAAATCCTTAGTCATCTCTAGACTTGAGGAAAACAGCAACCATGGAGTTCAAGTGAACAAAGAGCAATTGATGCTACAACTAGCTAATAACATCACTGTGAGTTTAAATGTTTCAAAGCCTATTTATATAATTTTAAACTCAGATATGGTGCACTTGCTTTTGTCCTTGAGAAAATTATCAGGAATAAACCATACAAAGATTACTGAGAGAGGAGACAGCCTCAAAGAGAAGCCTCCAGATCAAATATTACATCACTTTACAGAATTGGGAAGCAAGAACACTAAGAGTGTTCCTCAGGTAAGTTATACATTTACTAAAATTATTTCTGAAGGTTCAAAAGTAATGAACTTACTAGAAATAAGAGAAAGTGAGAACTCAATACCTTGTTTAAAACAACAACAAAAGAAATTAGGCTTAACAAGTTTAAAGCTTTGTAAGAAACCCATAATGCATTTGTTTCTTGTCCAAAGATTTGAGATTGCTTCAGGTACTAAGGACATAAAACATAGAGACCATCCGCTAGAGGAGAACATGTTGTTAAACCAAAGCAAACATGCATCACAACCCAAGGTGGACAAGACCAAGGTTATCAAGGCAACAAAACAGAGGAACCACGATCCAGGCCAGAACATAGGAGATATCCTATCCTTCCTGCTCAAAGGAGAACCACCAGACGTTCCACACTTCAGCAAACAAAAGATGCATCAAGGTATGACTATAAACTCCCAAGATATAATGAAAACTAACTTGCTCTTTCTTGGTGCAGGAGATATAGTTTCGAGGTCGAAACCTTTTCAAGAGGGTGAGAATGATACGCACCTCAATTCATCATCAGCCAAGGAGCACGGATCCAGGAGTCATGAAGTAGAGAACATGAAGCTGAGGAGAGCTAAGGAGACATGCGAGTGGAGTTCAGCTCAAATAGAGGTTTATATCAAACATTCAAACCCCAAAAATACTTGGAGAACATACTAAACTCATCCAGAGTTCACCACGAAGAAGAATCAGCTAAAAATGAGTT